ATCTCAAATTTCTATCTCAATGTTGTTGGAAAGAAATTGCTACATGTCAATAAAGCCGTCTTTAGCACAATAAATTATTATTTTTTGACTTCAATTACCGTTCTGTGACGTCGCTGTAATTTAATGCCCAAGAAAGTATATATAATTCGTTCATTCATTCATTCAAACTATACATTACCTATTCTAAACGTTTGGCCAATCAGCATTAGCAAATAGACGTAGTCGATGAAAATCAAAGTTAAATTCATTTCTACACTAAAGGGCGGGCGTAATGAATGGAATCAATTAAAACAATTCGTTATTTTAGATTGGCCTAGAGTTTGCTACCGATAACGATGGTTCATCGTTCATTTATGTTCATTGAATCATTTAGCTTTCGAGGTGTTTATTTTAAATAAGTATTTCATTTCCATTATTAGGTTTCAATTCTAGCGTTAACTACAACAGGTGCAATTATTCTCTGGGTGTTTCAATTTACGGAATTGATAAAAGTTAAACGTCAATTTTTTTAACGTGTACTCATCGGTTTTGTGTTCAATAGTGAAACTATATTTCGTAGTATTGTTATTATAAAACCACATTCATTTATACGTACTATTGACGTCACAGTGTGTTTTAAAAATGTCTATGTGTACCTACCGCCGTTGAAAACACGTTCACAGTGTGAGAAGTCCCCAACCCCCATCGGGCCAGAGTGGCGGAGAATGGCCTTAATCTTCGCCTGACAGGAAGCCCGTGTCGTTTTTTTATAATACCAATGGACGGAACGAACAAGTCGTAAGCTTGATGGTAAGCTACAAGCCTGTCCATAACAGTTGCAGAGCTTTAAATCGCAAAGATCTGAGGGGCACTGCCACTGCGCCCGTCATCCTGAGACATAAGTTGACAATTCCCATGTGCCTGTAATTTCACCAGCACCCTTACCCTTCAAAACCGGAATATATATATATATATATATATATATTCCGGTATATATATAGTATATATATATTATATATACATATGTGTATATTTGTGTCTCCGATGTGTGTCCCTTTGTACTCTACGTTTAACTTACTAGCTATTTTTCTCAACCCCTAGTAGGCTACTCGAAGTGCTAATTCTACGCAGACGAAGTCGCGGGTACCAGCTAGTTAGTGTATAAAAAGATAATATCCTGAAACGAACTAATAGATAAGGTGGCAACCCTGGACGAACTCTTTCACAAGGACCTCTTCTGCTACTCAAAAAATACACGTATTATAATTAATTTTGAGCCAGGCCTAGGTGTGAGATGACCTCACAGCTAAGAGAATGCAGTCATTGCGTGTGCTAAAGTAATTTTCTTTTTAAATTTCGCGAACTTTATATAAAATAATAGTATTGGAGAGTCAATAGTAGATTGTACAACAAGTGCATAAAACGCGTTGTTACCCGAGACGAGTATATCCACCCTCGCCTGCGGGTGGGGTGGATATTTAAGTCGGGGGTAAAATAGGTTTTGTGAACGAGTTATAACTCTGCTTTTCACTTCGATTGCGAGGAAATGAAACAGCAATATTACAAAAAAACGATTATTTAATTATAATTGATTCTAAAATTACAACAATTAGACATATTTAATGTGATGGTTTTTTTTTATTTTCTGCACTAGTGCATAAAATCCTATTTTATGCAGCCTACACCCAGCATAAATATGAACTTTAAGAGCATGAGAAGTGAAAACAAATTATCGACACCAGAAGTATCAATTAATGTAAGGAACAAACCACGGTTTGTCAGAAGAGCCAAAAAACGGTTTTATTTTTTTAAATCTGTCTATAACTTTTCACTGTCTACTCCAATTTTGATTGTGTCCAGTGCAAATTTCTTAGAATTTCCTCTTCTTTCATAATATAAACGAAAGATTTAGGAATGCCTAATGATTTCAAATATAGCATGTCCCTTACATTAAAAAATGAGGTTTAGTTCTGGCTTACGTTACTAATTTTTTATGTGTAAACCGTCGAGGATAGTGTAAGCAGTAAGAGAAATACAAAATTATACGTAATTCTATTGTAAAGGATCCTTTACAATAGAATTATGTGCAATTTTACACTATGCTCGACGGCTTACATATAAAATATTAATAACGTAAGGGACCATTAAACATCTTTTTTTTAATAATAATAATTATTCATTTATTTGTGGAAACACAGGTTATATAGATGCCGACATGTACAAAATACGTATAGTTTCACTGTGTCCGGCCAAACAGTAGGCATACAAATATTGAACACATTCACTCACATGCACTTCGACAGACTAAACCAGGTGTAACATGTTTCGTTTTTCAATAATATTACATGAGCGTGCACACATGGATTTAATAAGTCGGTCAGAATTTAAACGCGGAGATAGTTACATGGGTCAATTTTAATGGTAATTAGATGTCAAAATAATATCGTAACATAAATAACGTCCAATGTCAAAAATTAGACAATGAATTTAGGGATTTATCATTTAAAAATTCAGATCTTTTATTAGTCAGTAACTTGTTTAATTGTTTTTTAAATAAGGTCTGAGATAAAGCATAAGGTTTATCTCAGACCTTAGTGCTTCCGGTAAATTGTTGTAAATTTTTGGCGCCATTACGAAAATACTTTTCTGCATGAAGGTAGTTTCACAGGCTTTCAAACGAAGTTGGTCATATCGTCTTGGTTTCAGAGTTCATGTGAACAAGTGTGAGTGCATTCAGACATACACGGCAGTTTCGTAGATATAAAGTGAAGGAACAGTCAATAGTCGAAGATCTTTAAAATATGGTTTGCAGCTATCTGTTCTCTTCAATCGACAAATTGCTCTGACACATCTTTTTCGTGCCTTAAGAACTGAGTTCACATTAGTTGCGTGGCCCCAGAATATTAAACCGTATCTTAATATGGACGCAACATAGTCATGGTATGCTTGAAGGACCGAGTCTCTATCTACAACTTTGCTAAACATATGTAATGTACATGCATAAGAGTTCAGTTTAGTGCAAATACTCTCTAATTGTGCTTTCCAGTTAATTTTGTCATCAATCTGTATACCTAGGAACTTTGTTATATTTGTGTCTCCGATGTGTGTCCCTTTGTACTCTACGTTTAACTTACTAGCTATTTTTTCAACCCCTAGTAAGCGACTCGAAGTGCTAATTCTACGCAGACGAAGTCGCGGGTACCAGCTAGTTAGTGTATAAAAAGATAACATCCTGAATCGAACTAAGGTAATGACTTATTTTCACTCTAAATTTTAAGTTACACCCACTAATAGCTGTAAGAGCATTCCATTTTGCATATTTTTTCTTTTCTTTTTATAATATCAAGTGACGGGACGAACAAGTCGTGCGCCTGGAGGTAAGTGACACGCCTATCTGTGACAGTTGCAGTGTCACTCAGAAATTTAAATCACAAAGATCTTAGGGGCACTGCCTGTAATTTTGCCAGCACCAACCAGAACGCAGTAATGTGCACATTACTGCTTGGCGGCAGAAGTAGGTAAGGTGGCAGTACTTCCTTGGACGAATGCTATGTTCATGACATCATTATATTGGAAGTAATAAAAATAATAAAAAGCTTTGTTAATCCACATTATACGTAGTTAGTACAGTGAGTACATTATATGTTATGTATATAAATAAATTGTCAACCCATTGCACGTCTCACTACTGGGTTTCTCTAATGAGAAGGTTTATGCTATAATGCCCTGTCAGGCATTGCTACTAAATATTAACATAATGTCATGGGATAGGAATTCGAATCGATTGTCTTAATAAAGATAAAATTAATTGTTCATAGCTCTGTTACTATTTTCGTAGTTTGAACAAAATTAATAATACAAACTAATTTCTGACTTAGCGTTTTTCACAGAGAGTACAGATACAACTGACAACTTAGTGGGTATATTAACCTAGCAGTAAAATTCGTCCTTCGGACAGGCCAGGCTTGTAATTGGCCATACTGCCAGATCTTAAGATTGCAATTTTTCTTCAATTGTAATTAAGTTTACTGTATGTAAGAAGGTTTCACCTTTTCACAAATTACTACACTAAGAAAAATTCCTGTGATCCGGCTGGATTCCGTGTCTGACGCTCTCCCAACTCAGTTGCGGAACGAACCAGCAGACGTTACAATTTTTTCTATATGCTTGTTGCAATCTTTGTTTATGACTTCTCACAGATGGCGCCACGGCAAAAGTCGTTAAAAGCCAAAAACGAAGATCAGCAACAAGCATATTGAAAAATTGTAGGTAAAGGTCTGCTGATTAGTTTCGTAGTTCGGTTGGGAGAGTATAAGGCACAGTATACTGGATTGAATCCAACCGGATCTATCGATTTTTTCCTAGTGTTCGATCTTATAACAAAACATTGTAATATTCAATAAACTCAACAGGTATGGAACAAAATTTCTATTCCTTGACGTTTCCAAATAAGACAAAATGCTCGACAAACGAACTCTCAAAATTATATATAAACATATCTCTCTTTTCACAATTTAAACTCGTCACGTACTCCAATGAATGGCAGTCTCCATCATAATAAAAGATTAAACGCAAACGTCTTTTCTGTGTAGAGTTATCAGGCATATTATTGTTTCCTGTTCCCTTGGCATAAAATGTAACTATTATCCTTATTGTTTTACTAACAGGAAGTTTTGGTGAATACGCACTTCATCGATCCAGATGTCAACGAAACCTTCGTATTATTTTGCTAAATATATGCGCACGTGTTAAAATGACACATAAACGTTTGGTATTACGGACTATTTTCAATTTTACTCCAACATCTCTCTCGTATGGGAGTCGAAGCACTAAATTCGTCAAACAATTTTATACATCTTATGCTCTACAAACTTCGTACGTGTAATACGTGAAATTAAAAAAAAATATTCCTCGCTATCTTCATTTACTTACAGACGTTTTAATTCCAGTTTAAAGTTTGTTCCACATATGAACTACAAACAAAAACAAACTAACAACAGCAAAACGTAAATCACACTTACAAAACCCATAAAATAAAGAAGCTCCAAAACAAACTCTGTTTCTCAGCACTATTAAGTCATACCATAGGCACAAGGCGGCTCAATATCGTAATATAATAAATTTTACCTCGTGTTAACGGGCAACGTAGAGTCGCGCGGTAAATACAATACGCATTCAACTGTTCGAAAATTGAACGCGGCACTGTTCGAGGTTTTCGGACATCTGTGGGGGCGCGCGGCGCTAGACTTTCGCCACGCCCACGCGCTCCATAGAGCCAATCATCGCCCTTTATTCACCCAGGACGCATAGACTGTCCAACTTATGCACTGTATCCGTCTCTTTCCATTAACACTAACACCAGATTATGACGAGCGAGATAACGCAGTTACAGTAACGCGGGCCCCGTGTCGAATTCAAATTTTGACATGAGGAGTATAAAGTTATGGGTTGTGGGTATTCGATTTTGGTGTTACGGTTAGAACTTTTAAGAACCTGTTGAAGTGTTTAGGGGTAGCTAAGTTTGTGATTTCGCTACAAAATGTGGGCTAAATATAATATTTGCGGCTGAATCGATCACAAAATAGCACTGCGCGGCAGGGAATGCGAAAGCTTCACAAAAATGTTTGCACTGTAATGTAAGGCATATTTATTTATTTATTTAACAATAATAAGTGTATATTAGTTACAAGTTCATTATTAACTATGTTAGTAACAATGCAATTTAACTTAGATATTATATTAAGTAAGGTGAATCTGAAACGCGTATGACACGCATGACTTACTTAGTATGGGGCAATCCACACACGTAGTATAGTACTTGCCCCTTATGCTATTAAAAGAAATCAATTTCCTACTTTTTTTTTCTTGTATTTTGTCACTTTATCATAGAGCATTAAAGGTTTCTAGGACACTTTTCCTCCACGTGATTCTTGTTCCTTGTAAGTTACTGTCTATTTAAAAGGTATAGTCGTAAGCGAAAAGAAACGAAACAAATTTTATTGTATTGGCGCTCTGAGGTATCGTGTTCAGGTGTCTGGTAACGTTCCCCTTTCAATGGCTAGAATTATCTCTATAGGTGCAAGCTTTTTGTGATTGGAAACTTCAATGAGTTGAAAGCTAAGCAAGGATCAATAACACTGAAAAACAAAATGTGATTGGAATAAACAAGATGTTGTTTAAGGTGATAGTGTAATTTGTTTCCGCCAGAAATCAGAAACATTTATAACATGAACCTGTTAAATAAAGATATTAAACCCTATTCGATTCTAAGACGGGCGTACGATGTGTTAAATGTACAGGCATTAGAATTTAATTAAAATACACTACAATTTAATTTATTGTTTATAAAAATCATTTGAAAACGTTTCAACAACAAGTATAATGATTGCAACGAAAGGCATAAAGATTGCTACAACAAATATAATGGTTGCAACAACAAGCACAATGATTGCCATAACAAACATAATTATTTCAACAAAAAAAAATTACTTCAAGAACCAGCGCAATGATCGCAACAACAAGCACAATAATTGCAACAACAAACACAATAATTGCAGTGACAACCACAATGAATACAGTAAATTTTTTACTTCTTTAAAACCCAGTTTTCTTGAGGGGTGAGGTATGTGATTAAAATTCTGAATTATTAACAAAAAATTAGTTATGAATTTGCCAGACAAACACACATTACCTGGTCTCAAACTAGGTAATTCATTGTACTATGACGTCCAATCGGGAACCAATTACCGGTAATCGAATCCGTGACGTCATCCAGTGCACACAGTGATGTGCCACCTAGGGTCGTATTCCAAAACTCTACTCAATGCTCAAGTCAGCATCTGAGTATGATTTCAAGCACTGAGAATACGACCCTAATGGCAGGGACTTGGGTATGATTTAGAGTGCTTTAAACCATACTCAAATCCTGACTTGAGCATTGAGTAGAGTTCTAAAATACGACCACTAGTCATCTAGTGCCCAAACCATTGGGCCACCAAGTCACATTAGGAATATTGCTAACAATAAATTTAAAAACCTTTTTCATTCATTTTCATATTTTATGTTTTTCGTCGTAAGGACATTGAAAAATAAAGATTGTTAAAAATTTGACTTAATGGATTTATTCGGGTGAAAAATAAAGATGTCGAGTGATAATTTCGTAAACCTCGTTAATGTGAACTTTTGAGTAGGCACAAAATACAGAAATGCTAGATATAATTAAATTACAATCTATGTTTACACCTTTATATTATTAGTAAGAAAAAGGTCTAGAAACTATATTTTAAGCATTGACTTACAATTATATGGAAGTCGGGTCCGCGCTAAAGAGTGTCCGAACTTATAGGGCTTTAAAATCGTATACAGAGCGTCATTCACGCTTTAGTCTTCGTTTGTTCGATTGACAGCGAAGTAAGCAAAATTAGACAGTACTGCGATGACATTACAATTTAACATTCAACGTTTTAACTTTTTTATATTCCTTTACATGTCACTAGGTTTAAATAGGTTGACTTGGGACATTTTTTTCGTGGTTTTTGTATTAGACCCGTCGTCCATTTATTTGTAAGTCAATGGGTGTTTATAATAAAGTCAAGTTGTCTATTTTAACTGAATTTAATTATGTACCAAATTTATTTCCATACGAGGGACCAAACTATTGAAGATTGTTAAATACTAAGAAATATGTATATTACACCCTAAAACGAATAATGACTACAATACTCGGAAATTATATTATGCAATACTGATACTGAATGAATTGCCTGCGTGCATTCAAGATTCGTATGTGGAAGGAGAATGTAAAAACAGACTAAAAAAATACTTGTTCGAGCGAATCGCTGTGACCGGATAAACCCGCAGGTTTGGTTTTTAGAGCTACATGTGCTTATATTAGCCAAATGAAGAATAAATAAGTAAATTTGAAAAAGCCAACAGATGGCGCTTGTCGTCAAAAAAATATTACTACAAAAAAAAATGGCGGGTATTTTTGGACATAGTTTTTAAATAAATTAATTTTTAGTATAAGTAGGTATTATAGGTATTACCTTTAGTTTCTTAAAGTCAAAATCAAAAGAATCATTTATTCCATAGGTAGAATAAATTTACACTTGAAAGCGTCATTTTTTAAGCTACATGCTAGTTATCGAGTTCTTAGGTTTTCGCGATTGTTACACATAGGAAATGAAACTATATTTCCGGATTTAAATCGCGTATATTTGTTTTTTCAAACAAACCGACGTTTCGGGCCCTTTACAGGTCCCATGGTACGCGATTTAAATCCGGAAAAATAGCTTCATTTCCTACTTGCTAGTTCCCTGTGTAGACTTCCTTTAAATAATAATAAAATTGTTTATTTCCGGCCATAGCCTATAATAATGGTGTTTGTTACAAGAGAAAACCTTGTGACTATCTTAGCACGATTGCAATGAATTTCGGAATATTGATAGATAATTAAAATATTTAAACTACGAAAATATTACTTTTTATTTTGGTAATATACAGGTAAGGTACAATAAAAGCTTAAATACTAGAAGGGAAAAAAAGGATTAAATTGTATGAATAATACTATGAAAATTACGAAAATAACTGCTTCATTTGACCAGAGAGACCTTTACCCAGAACTTTAAAATCGTACAATTAAAACGATCTTCAGGAAGCCATTGCCAGTGTCACGAACTCGCTTTAGCGGAGACGGCACATTTAAATCCATTCCATGTCTTGCGGGTTGGAAGAACCATGCCAGCGTGATTTTATAATGCCAAGGGTCAGTTATATGTATCTGTATCGTGTATCATGTCTTTGGCGGAAAGTCTTGCGCCTGATAGTAAGCGACACCACTCAGAGCCTTAAATCGCAAAGATCTGAGCCACCGCGCCCGTCACCCTGAGACATAGAATGGTAAGTCTCATGTACCTATAATTTCACCAGCACCCTTACCCTTCAAAACCGGTACACATTAATGCTGACATTGCTGCTTGGCGGCAGAAATAGGTAAGGTGGTAGTACTTGGACGAGCTCTTCCACAAGGAGCTCTAATGCTACTCATGTATATATGATGCGATGGTGGAAAGTTCGACGAGTTCCTCTGAGTCCTCTCCATTATAAAGACGGTAGAACACACACAGAGCCAACGTCTCCCCGCAGGTACACTAAGGGACGCCAAACCGTCTGTGTTTAGTTCACGTAAAAGTAATTATGAGAGCCGCCTGGCATCAAATATGATTCCTCCCTTTTTTAACACGAACGCCGAATGCGTATTGTAGCATGCCACGATACCTTTGGCTTCACTGCACCTAAGACGAATAACGAACTAATTGTGGCTATAGATAATCAACGTAAAATTTTATAAAACTACAACCGCTTGCGACTTATCATGATTTCCCTCCCAATTATAAATGAGTACTTCTACTAATTAGTACCTATTTATCATCTATGAGCTTCAGACCTTTCTATGGCATATCATCATTCCGCAGATGTATATGATAACACTAATTAATGTAGTGTAAATATGATAACTACGTTCAGTTTTAATAAAAAAAATATTAAAATCGAAAGTTCTAGAGCAGATGCTACCACCCTCGGTGGGCTATCGACAATTTTGACTTTATAAATGCAAATATTCTTAAATGATAATTTACGTTATTGTCTTTTTGTATTAATTTGATTATTCTAAATTTTTTTTACAAATGCAGTGCGAGTTATATGGGGTTATTTGTATTTTGACTTTTGATCAGATTTTACTCAGATTTTACCGCGATGACCCCCACTTTCTTTTGTTACCGACAGCGTTTAACTTTAAAATTTTGGATATATCTAGTTTTATTTAAAAAAAGTTATTGATATCGTTATCGATATACTCATTAGATAACGTACTTTCGATGTCGGTTTAGAAGTTTTTTAGATCTCTTATATTTACGGAATATCACCTGGGGGCACTTAACGATTACACACTGCATATTTTAATCGCATGCAGATGCAGATCCTCATTTCGTATATACCACGGCATATACATTAGACATAACTGGTTGATAACTGTAGCACCTCAGTCAACCGTGACCATGGACCTGTAAAGGGCCAAAAACGATGGTTTGTTTGAAAAA